AGCTCCTTTAACTTGACCTTATCTGAGAAGCACTTTACCTGCCCTTCCATTCTAAATGATAGCTTTGCTGGATAGAGCAATCTTGGATGTAGCTCCTTGCCTTTCATGACTTGGAATCCTTCTTTCCAGCCCCTTCTTGCCTGCAAGGTCTCTTTTGAGAAATCAGCTAATAGTCTTAGGGGAACTCCTTTATAGGTAACTCTCTCCTCTTTTAAAATTCCTTATCTTTAATCTTCAGTAATGTAATTACGATGTGTCTTGGTATGTGCTTACTTGGGTCCAACTTTTTAGGATTTTTAAAATTTATTTATCTTTAGAGGGGAAGGGAAGGAGAGAGGGAGAAAAATATCAATGTACAGTTGCCTCTTGTGCATCCCCAGCTGGAAACTGGCCTTCAACCCAGGCATGTGCCCTGACTGGGAATCAAACCGCAATCCTTTGGTTTGTAGGCCTGCACTCAGTCCACTGAGCTCCACCGGCCAGGGCTGGGTCCAACCCTGGGACTCTTGGAGCTTCCTAGACTTCCTGGAAGTCTATTTCCTTTGCCACATTGGGGAAGTTCTTTTTCATTATATCTTCAAATAAGTGTTCAATTTCTTGCTCTTCTCCTTCTGACACCCCTATGATTCCAACGTTGGAGCATTTAAAGTTGTCCTGGAGGTTCCTCTTCTCATAGTTTTGAATTCTTTCTTCATTCTGTTCTGGTTAGATGTTAATTTCTTCTTTTTGTTCCATATCGTTGATTTGAGACCCAGTTGTCTTCCCTTCATTCTTTGTTTCCTGCATATTTTCCTTTATTTCACTTTGTGTAGACTACATTCCTTCCTTCATTTTGTGATTGAGCTCAATCAATGCTGCAATTACCAGTGTTTTGAACTCTACATCAGATAGGTTGTCTACCTCCTCATCACTTAGCTCTTTTTCTGCAGTTTTGATCTGTTCTTTCATTTGGGCCATATTTTTTTGTCTCAGCGCACCTGTTATACTGTAAGTGGGCAGGACCTTAGGTATTCTTCAGGATGGGGCAACCCTCTTTGCTGTGTTGTGGGGCTGTCTTTGGGGGAGGGGTCAGAGGGAACAGTGCTGCTCACTCAGTCTGCTCTGGCCCCACTTTCCAACAAACTCTGTTGTGTGAGACTAGGAGTTTCTCCCGCTGCAGCAACCCCCACGATTTTTTACAGCTAGAGGTTTTGAGTCTTTAGTTTCCAGTCAGCCAGCCCTCTTCACCCTCGTGGTCTGCCTCCTTGCTGCAGGTCTCATCTGCCTGCCTGGCGACCTGTCTCCGCCCCTCCTGCTGGTCTGGACGAATGTTTCTTTAACTTCTTGGTTGTTGGAGTTCCGTGAAGTTTGATATTCTGGCATTTCTGATTGTTTATTGTTTTTAAATTGGTTATCTTTTGGTTACGCAAGGAAGCAAAGCATTTCTACCTACGCATCCATCTTCAAATCTACTCATTTAAAAGATTGTAAAATGTGTTTGCATTGTTGCATGTTTTCTGTCCTGGTTTCTCCAGGGGAAAAGACATATGCTTCAGGTGCTCAGCACCGCTGCACACCCAGACTCCAGCCACAAGTTATGATTCATTGTTTATTTCCAAGGCAAATGGAAGTATCTTCTCAGTAAGATATCATCAAATTCTGTAACTGACAAAATTTAAGTTAAATTGTCTCTCAACAGCATTTCTGTTCGTGCTTTACAGGGAGTGAGGATAAAATTAAAAGGTGGTTTATTATCAAGATTGTTCAGAATTTTTTGTATTTTAATTTCCTTTGCTCTGAGTGCTTTAAGCTATATATTCTTGCATCTACTTAAGCCTTTAACTTAAAAGTAGAAGTGACTTAAAAAAAATCATTGTGTTAACTTAGTTTAATGGTTTGATGGGATCCATCCATGCGATCTCCAAGACTTTCATTGGGGTATGCTAGGTCAAAACTATTTTCATGGTAATAATAAGACATTAACTTACCTTTTTGACTCACATTCTCTCATTAGTGTACAGTGGAATTTTCGAGACTGCGTGATGTATGATGATGTCATTGCCCTGCTTGCTAATGATAAATGTAAAACATTAGCCTTCTCACTAAATTTTTTGAGAACTGCTGCCCCGTTGGACAAGACCCAAGTTACTTATGTCTGTAGTGCTATAAAAGATCGTGATTCTGTGTCCAGACATTGGCCATGCAGTGAGAGTGCTGGTATTCTGCTTGCTTAGTGGATAAATTTTAAAGTTTACAACCTGTGGTTTACTAGTGAGTGAACTGATTACTGTAGTTCTAAGGGACCTTATGAGAGTCATCTAATTCAACCTCTCATTTTACTGATGAGGAAACCTAGTTACAGAGTGACCAACTTGCTTCTAGGTCTGTGTAGTGCTTTTTTTTTTTTTAAGATTTTATTTATTTATCTTTAGAGGGGAAGGGAAGGAGAGAGGGAGAGAAATGTCAATGTATGGTTGCCTCTTGTGTGTCCCCTGCTGGGAACTAGCCTGCAACCCAGGCATGTGCCCTGACTGGGAATCGAACCATGGTTGTTTGGTTCCCAGGCCCGAGCTCAATCCACTGAGCTATACAAGCCAGGGCTGTAGTGTTTTATTTTAAAGTTTGATGAAGCTATTTGGTACCCAGATATACCCTAAGTATGTGATAGATTATTATAGCAGTTATTAAGTTCTTTTGGCCTCAGGACCCCATTATATTCTTTAAAATTATACTCTTACACTCTTAATTATTGTTTGTGTGTTATGTATAGATATTTACTGTATTAGAATTTAAAATGGAAAAAATTTAAAAATACTTATTCATTCATTTGAAAATGATAATAAACCCATTGCATGTTAACATAACATTTTTCTAATGAAAAGTCAGTGCATTTTCCAAAATGAAAAATAACTTAGAAAAGGAGAGTTTTATATTTTTGAAAATCTCTTTAATGTTGGCGTAATAGAGGGCACCTGAATTCCAGTCATCTTCTGTATTAACTGGTTACCACAGGTTGTTTTGGTTGGAATATGTGACATAAATCTGACCTCACCAAATATGTAGTTGAAAGATGGGCTATACTTTTTAGATAATTGTTAATATTTACCTTTGAATGGTCTTTAAAAGTGGTGGTTTCTTAAAGATTTATTATGTGGAATCTGAAGCCCTATCAATCTATTTTTTATGCTCTGTTATATTAAAATCCATTGGTCTGTCTTCAACTTTGAATGGATCTTTTATCCATGCCTAATTTTGTAACATGCATTGCCATTTGCAAAATACTGGTTCAGTGAGTTAAGCAAAAACTCTGCATGTTGACTCACTTCATTATACAATATGAAAAAGCACATTTGTTACTATCACCAACAATATCATCAGAAAAGTGTAAGTATTGGGAAACTGTCAAGCTCACAGTGGTAAATTAAACATTTTCCAAAATTCTAATTTTTGCTCGAAAGCTCGAATTTTATTATTGGCAACAAATGTCAGGTATTTTTCCTTAGAGCAATAAACTTATTGCTTCAAGAAAGTGGCTTAGTCTCAAGTCTGAATACCTATAGTTTATCAGTTCTTTCAAGGGAAAATGGTGTTCTGTGATAGTTGTGCAAGTACTTTTTCTCAAGATAGCCTGTTACACTAGTATGCTCCGGAAGTATTAATATATACTTTCTATTTTGTCAGGTAGATTATTAAAAAGACGTGTACTCAGAAGATTGAGATTTAATACCCTAAATCAGGGCCAGCACTAGTGTGAACCAAGTAGGTACCCAGAGTACAGAATTAAAGGCACTACAGAAAGCAAGCTTCTCGTTAAATTTTGTACCATGGGTGCCTTGCTGCATCTTAGTCCTGCTTTTGAGATTAATCATTTTTACTGTTACATCAAGGATTTCTTGAGTGCAGTCTTTTTTAAAATTTTGGTTTTTTAGCTGCAAATACATGGAGTTGAAAAATTCATTCTTTAGCTTGGGGTCACTATCTTGATTTCATGCTGGAGCTACAACAATTTTGCTCAACATTGCTTTCTCCCCCTCTCTTCACATCATTGCTCTTGCATTATCTATGCAAATGTCAGCACAATGAAAAGGAAAATGTTTTAGTATTACTATGAAAATAATTTTAACATCACAGACTTGGGTTCCCAGACCATCTTTGAGAACTGTACTTGTGTTCGTTCACATATGCTTTATTGTAGTAAATTGATTCATGCCTCTCATTGATTTATCTGTTTTGGTACATGGAACTGTTAAAAATTACTATTAATTTAACTTATGATGACCTAAGAGAATTACTGTTACTTAATAGAGGATTAGTCACGAAGTTCTGAAAACTGCTTGTTTATACCTTCCACAGGACTTGGCCATCGATATTTAAGCTACTTAAAATGTCCTAGTAGTGACACCTTTCCTGCTCATTGAAATCACCTGGAGTGCTATAACGCTATTGCATAAAGCCCACCCCTAGTTGGTTTGGGGTGCTGCTTGGACTTTGAAATTTTCAGAAGCTCCCCAGATGATACTAATATGAAGCCATGGTTGAGAACTGCTTTAAAGGAATGAACACCATTTTGATTAGCAGTCTATGCAGGTGTCTTCTATATTATTTAAATAAAAAGTAATTTTTAAGAAATAGTTTTAACACTGTTCCTGGGACAGAAGAGATTAGATTGACAACTGCTGATTTGTAAACAACTTTAGAAGTAGTAATCAATTCTATGAAAAAGTTTATTTCGAAAAAATTCTAGTGATATTTTTAAATGAGGTTGGTAATTCTAATTGGATTATTTTGGCCCTTCCTGGGACATTTACTCTTAAAAGTTTAGTTTCTGGTTAGTATCTAAATGTTCACTGTGTAGAAGACATTATATTTGTAATTGAGTAGCAATATTACAACTGTATCTTAGAAAATGAAGTTTAAAGTAATGCAAGCACATTTTTCAGGTGCTAAAATTTTGGTTTTTTCTGAGCGTAAGAAGTTAAATATGGTATTAATCAAAGGATTTTTCTCTTTGTTTCTTTTAGAATTAAAGTTGGGAGAACTGCTTCATGATAAGCTGTAAGTATTTGTGTACTTTGAAATAGTGTGGTATGATATTTCCATCAGTTTTTTCTCATGTGCAGTAGTGTTCCCTGAAGTCTGAGTACTTTTACATTCAAAACTATAAAAATAAAACTAATTATAAATATATTTTTTCATGTTGGTGAGCTGTTTTGGGGCAGCTGACCCTAGTTATGATGTGAAATGTTTCTATCAGTGAAACTGTGACTTATGGTCCTTTCCTTACGTAATTTTAGTGACAAGTACATAAAAGAATTTTTGTGATGAAGGAAGGTTAATTGAAGTAGAAGTATAAGCAATTTCAAAAGACTTAGATACATAGAATACTATAGTTATTTAAAGTATTACAATTTTATACCATTGTGGGATTCTGGGTAAGCTTACTAGTTCAGAAACAATTTATGAGGTCAGTTTTTTATTTGCAGATTTGGTCTTTTTGAAGCCATGTCTGCCATTGAAATGATGGATCCCAAGATGGATGCTGGCATGATCGGAAACCAAGTTAATCGAAAAGTTCTCAATTTTGAACAAGCTATCAAGGTAGTCACCATTGTATTTTTGGTGTTTTCTTTTATTGTTTGTTATTCATGTTTTTTAAGATTGTATTTATTTATTTTTAGGCAGAGGGAAAGGGAGGGAGAGAAACATCAGTGTGGCTGCCTCTCAAGCGCCCCTTACTGGGGACCTGGCCTACAAGTCAGGCATGTGCCCTGACTGGCTATCTAACCGATGCCTGTTTGTTCCACAGGCCAGTGCTCAGTCCACTGAGCCATACCAGCCAGGGCTGTTTGTTATTCATATTTTAAAACATTCTGATTACTGATAGAAATGCCACTTAGCATATTAATTTAAAGTGTACTTTTCTAAAAGTATCTCAAATACATAAATAAAAATGTTATAACCTTTAGTCATGTATCTCTTTCTATTGAAATCTGAAAATTAATTACGATGTTCAATAAAAGTTTGCTCTAAATTTGTGTGTGTATATTTTTTAAATTGATTTTTGAAAGCATCTGAGTATATATTCAAAATCAGAGTAATTAGCTTAGGGATTAAATTTTACCTATTAATATATTAAGTAAAATGCTTGTAGTAGTGAATTTCATGTTTACTCGTTGACAGTTGATTTAGAAATACATTTATAGTTGTCACGGAGTTTAATTTTGCATATTTTACGAAGAAAGATTTGTTGAGTAAGTCTATATTTTAAACAAAATTTACAGAGTAGTATAGTTAACCAACTTAAGGGAAGTGTTTTTAAAAGTGTTTATTTTATTCTCTGAGTTTTGATTCATTGAAATCATTCATATTTATTAATGCTTGAAACTAATTTGAACTGTGCTTTAAAAATACTTGCTGATTTAGTTCTTTTTCTTTATAAAGCCTTTTTTATGTTTCGAATGGAAAAGACTTTCATTTTTCTTTCCGAAGACCTGTTTTAGATATATTTTTAAGAATACAGAGTTAATTTGGCATCTTAGTTTTTATCAGATGATGAGATAGAGTTGTCTTAGAATTGTTCTTTTTAAATAATTTTTGAAAGATAAAATGTATGGATTTGATATAGCATTTGCAAAATGCTAATTTATATTCATTTTTAAAATCTTCTTTTTATATGTTATATTTCCCTTTCTTTTTAGGATGGTACCATTAAAATTAAAGACCTCACCTTGCCGGAATTGATAGGGATAATGGATACATGTTTTTGCTGTTTGGTAAGAGTTACAGTAACACTAATAGTTAATTTTTAAACTATTACTTACCTGTATCTTTAAATTTTAAAGTATACACACCAGTGTTGAGTATGAAATATCTGTAATGCTAATAAGATTAGCAGGCCAACTGTGCTATAGGAAACAGCATTTTTCCTTCTTGTCTGGTGATTTTAGGTTCTCATTTTCTGGGTGAGGGGGTATTTTCTTTCTAGTGAAGATAATAGTGTAGCCATTACCATAAGTACTCCTTTGGTTTTCAAGGTATCCAGGGAAGCAAATCTATAATTGGAAGTCCCATAAATAAACATGAAATTGAAACAAAGAATTGGCTTGAGAGAGAGAGACTGCTAATCTAGAGCAAATTGTAGTAAACTGGCCATGTTTTTGAAGACAAAGAAAATGCTGGAAAAGTTATCTTCCCTAAACAGTGTTGCTTAATTGTGGCAAAATTCTCATTTACTGCCTGTTTTCTTTTCCTTTTTTGCCTACTTTCTAACCTATTCATTGTCCTTAGAAATGTGTAAATTTTATTCATTTGGTCATTTAGTAAGTATTGGTTGCCAGTATGTGAAGTACTTCTATTAGATGTTTTATGCGTATATTTTTCACTTAGGTCTTATGTCAGCTCTGTTCAACAGATGGTTTCATCTTATTTTCTAGCATTACATTGCTAGGAAAGGGCAAAACCGGAGTCCTGATCCTACTCCATCTTCTTCCAAAGCTGTCTCCTTCCCTCAAAGATACAATTCTTACCCTTTATCAGCTTACTATCCCAGTGGCATAGGACAAATGGAGGGAAGAGGGAGGGTTTTTGCCAAAATTGAGCAACCTTTGTATGATACTTCTTGGAACTGTATATAAAAGTTAGGCCTTTAGAGAGTTTTTCTGTCTGGAAAGTCTTCATACTGGCAATATAAAAATGCATTGATTGTAGTAATTTTCATGTGCATTTCTCACTTTGTGATGAAGTGCTATGTGTCCTGCTGTATTGCAGAATTCTTGGACTTAGTGTAAAATCTAACTATAAACTTGGGTAAAACTATTTACACCCTCTGGCTTTGTTTCTTTACATGTAAAAGGAGAAAAATACCGCCCTCCTCAGAGTGTTAGGAAAAAGGACATAAGATATATGAAAGTACCTAGCACAGCTCTTGGGACATAATAGTTACTCAATTTTGGCTGCTATAGGTATTACCAGCTTTGAGCACCTGGTACTTGGCCCGTTGTAAGTACACAGTAAAATAGTGTTGAATGATTATTTTTGTGTTTTCAAAAGATTTCTCTGGTTGGGGGTATATTGGATGAGAGATGGGAGCAGGGTCACTAAAACCATTACATAGTTTCTTGCAGTTATCTAGGTGACATATGATGCTCTTGACAGGGTTGGGGTATTAAGGATGAAAAGAGTTAAATGAGTGGCAAGGGACCTACTTAGTTCTAAAATGTGAGTTCCTTAGTTTATGGAATTTTATTGACTACATGTGGAATTAGTTGCTTTTGGATGCTCAATTTGGAAGCACTCTAATTCCATTAGTCTCCAGGTATATTGTAAACTGAATTATATATGACTCCTTTCCATATTTATATCTTTCAGCTAATCATATTTATGGTATGTAGCTCTAGAAAGACTTTAGTCAGTGAAAGTGAATTCTAATTTTTTTGTCTTTCCTGACCTTCCCTTTAATCACCTTTTAAATCTTATAATTAATATATTTATTTTGGTCTGTGGCACTCTGGTCTGTGACTCTTGGATCAGTTTAGACTTTGCAGACTCTGCAATTTAAACATATACATTATCTTATTTCTTTTATAGATAACATGGTTAGAAGGCCACTCCTTGGCACAGACAGTATTTACATGCCTTTACATTCATAATCCAGACTTTATAGAAGATCCTGCCATGAAAGCTTTTGCTCTGGGAATCTTGAAAATCTGTGACATTGCAAGGGAAAAAGTAAATAAAGCTGCTGTTTTTGAAGAGGTAAGATCTTGTAATATAAGAATTCCTGAAGCACATTGACCATCTTATTCACTGTGATATATTTAAATGATTTTATGATACATATTTTTGTAGCATGTATAGTTAAAAACAGTTTTTAAAACTGATACTATTGCTATTTATATATTGGCTGAAGTAATCCATTCCTCCGTAAGAAAGGACTTTCATCTTACTCTGTGTTCTTTCTGTCAGTGCTATTCACTAAGTATCCATTATGTGCAGAGGACTTTGTTCTGGATATTGTAGGGATTCACAAAGAAAATAGAAGAGCTAGCCTCTGCCCTTAGGCCTCTTACAAATTACAATACAGAAGTGCTTTACTTTCAGTCTTTGGATAAGCAGGAAGTAAAGAAGACAAAGGTATGAGGAATATTTTAGGGCAGCGACTTTCAACCTTTTTCATCTCATGGCACACACAAACCAATTACTAAAATTCTGCAGCACACCAAAAAGTATATCTGTTGCTGGTCTAACAAAAAAATAGGTATAATTTTGATTCATTCACACCAGATGGCTATTGTTATATTGGTTGTTATCATGTTTTTATTTGACAGTCTAAAGGAAAAGAGGTTAGTGCACGTGGTTAAATAGTCGGGTATGTTTTAAAAATTCATGGGGCACACTGATTAAAAATCGCTGGTTAGGATGTGAACATTTTCCGCTAGTTAGTACTAAGCACCACATTCTGTTGAAGTGTTCTGAGACATAGATTTTTTTTTCCTTATAGAAAACAAATCTTCAGATGCTGGTAATTTTAAGGGGAAATGTGATAGCATTTGAGGTTATTGATAAGTGATTATGTAATTCTTCCCCTTGTTGAAACTGGTAGTTTCTTTTTAACATTGCTGTTTACCCAGAATAAATATCTTAGGCTCCTACAATGGTCCAGTGTATAGTATGTAAAACTTTTCTAAATTAGTTATGTGTGTGAGAATAATTAAATATGTACCCAGCGTGATTGTCTACATTTAAATGTATGGCTTGTGAGTTGTTTATGAAATACTCTTTACTTCTTATATACTCATTGGTTATTTAGCTACATATATGAATGACATGGGTGTCATTATGGAAAATCTAATGCATTAGGTGAAATTTTTTAACAGATTAAGTTAATAAGTGAGAAGATAAATACAAATTATTTTAAATAGTTACATTCTCAAAGTACACCCGAAGGACATAAAAATCAGTAGGGCCGATAAATGATTCATTTAACAAATCAGACTGGAACAATTGATTATCACCCTTGAAAATCAATTTATTTTACATCTGCCTTAGTCCCTTTGGGCTGCTGTAGTAGAATACCGTAGACTAGTTGGCTTATAAACAACAGAAATTTATTTCTCACTGTTCTGGAGGCTAAATTGTCCAAGATCGGTGCCTAGTGAAGGCCTGCTTCCTGGTTCATAGACAGCCATCTTTACACTGTGTCCATAGTCCATACATGGTAGAAGGGGAGAGGGAACTCTCTGGGGTCCCTCTTATAATGACAGTAATCTCATGTGTGAAGTCTCTGCCCTTGTGACCTAATCACCTTCCAAAGGCCCTGTATCCAAGTACCATCACTTTGGGCTTTAGGACCTAACATATGAATTGCTATAATAAATTATAGCAATAATTAGCAAAATAAATTGCAGGTAGATGAAATATTTTAAGTGTTAAAAAATTTATTTTAAAATCAGAAAATAGTTGTCCTGACCACGTGGCTTAGTTGGTTGGAGCATCATTCCTTGAGCTGAAGGTGGCTGGTTCGATTCCAGTCAGGGCACATGCCTTGCTTGCAAGTCAGATCCTCAGTTGGGGTGTACTAGAGACAACCAGTTGACGTTTCTCTCTCATGTAGAGTTTTTTCTCTCTCTCCCCCTCACTCTCTTTCTCTCTTTCCCGTCCTTTCTCTAAAATCATCAATATTTTTTTAAAATTAGAGGATAGTTTACAAAATAGTTTTTAAATATAAGATAATTAACCATACTAAGCAGAATTGCAAATTAAAAGTATGAGATACCATTATTTACCCCTTATGGGTGAAGATTAGATGTTTTTTTATAATACATCATGTTGAGGATAGAAAAACACTCATATGCTATGCGTGTATGATATGAATGGTCATTGTTTCCCTCTAAACTTTCCTGGTTTTCCAGATAAATTTGTCTCAGTTTTATAAATAGGGAAAAAATCTATTACCTAGTAAAAATCCTTAAGAGATATGGTAATAAATAAATGAAAATGACATAGTCATTTCTTTGAAATGAGTGCTTCTGAAGTTCTTAAGTGCTGGGGTATTTTGTTCTCAACTATGTCCCTGCTGTGTTTTAACTCCTAAAGTGGATACATTTTCAGCTGCCTAAAGATTTTCATTCTTAATATCTTGCTCACACATGCAAAATGGAAACCATAATTTCACCCCTTACACTGCTTGTCCTCCTGCAATCTGTCTTGCAAAAATGGTATCTAGAATGTTATCTTTGATTACTTATTTTTTTAACCTTTTTTTTCAAGTTTATTTTATTTTTATCTGGAATCTGGTCACTCTGTACTTCTCTTTCATTGTCCCTGCTTTAGTTCATGCCTTTGTTAGCTTTAGGTGTAGGCCGAACTCTTCTTTCTGACCCAGTCTTTCCTTCTAGTTCATTCTCCACTTGACCCTCTTGAAAATAGGTAATCTGGTCATGTTCACTTTTGCTATTTCAAAATTTTCCCTGGGATATGTGTTTCAATAGAAGTGATAATACTTGTACATAGTTAAATAGCCCATAAGTTTATTTGTGATTCTCTGCTCTTATCCATTCTGTATTAATATTCAGTTCTTTTAGCTTTTTATAAAAAGCTGTACATATTTAATGTGTAAGACTTGATGAGTTTGGAGATAAGTACCCACCATGAAACCATAGTCAATACCATTAACACATCCATCACTTCCAAGTGCCCTCTCACCCTGTACTTTTGTGTTATAAGATCACTTAACATAAGGTCACTCAATACATGTGCAGTTTGAATGTAATGGTGCTATTAAAAAATTCCTTTTTTTCTTTTTTGTATTATTTTTGAGATTTTGTTTATTCTAGATGAGAAGGAAAGGAAAGAGGAAGAGAAAGATCAATGTGTGAGCAATACATTCATCTGTTAGTTGCCTTGCCTCTCACACACCCCAGACTGAAAGGACCTGGCTTGCAACCCAGGCATGTGCCCTGAACCAGGAATCAAAGTGGGGACATTTCAGTTCATAGGCCAGCTCTCAGTCTACTAAGCCACACCAGCCAGGGCCTCTTTTCTTTTTTTTTTTTTTAACTTTATTTTTATTGTTGACACTATTACCATAGTCTTCTAGCTTTTTTCTGCTATTTACTTTCATATTCCTAGATAATAGGTTTATATTCTAATTTTTGGATTTAAGGACTTACAGTTTTTAGTTATGGTGTATGTATCAGCACATCTTTACCAAGTATTTAGCATTCATACATTACTTCCTCTCCTATTCCAAATAGTCCTTCAATTTTTGGTTAAGTCATTATTCATTTCTGACACTATGATTGTATAAATATTGATGAGCGAAAGTAGTATATGCCTACATTTTCTTTCTCATAAAATTTTTGTTTTCCTCCCTGGCATATTATTCAACTGATAATGGGTATATTATTCTTTTTCATTATTTCATGCTAGTGCACAGGATTCTTTCTGGCTCTTAGGCCTTTTCTCTCTTTTTCCAGGTTTTAAAACTTTTTATTTGCACTTTAAAAATTGTGCATTCCAATAATTAAAATCATTTTAATGAACAAAAATGGCATTCTAATTAAACTGCATTTTACAGCCTGCAGGACACCTTGGACAGTTTGGTGTTTACTCTAGAGTTCACTGTCGTCCCACCCAGCTTCTTCCTTCCCTTCCAGCCAGAGAGGCAGATGGGAGAGGCAGGTAGAGCCTTGTCAGTAGTTCCCTGATGTGAAAAGGGGCAGCATAGTCATTTAAACTGTTCCAACCTCTTTGCATCTTACAAAGTTAAACAGCTAAAAGAAGTAAGTTTAGAAGGTAGTACTTTGGAGTGTGCAGTGCGTGTTGGTGATGTGGGCCCTCATTGCAATTTGCCTGCTTGCTTCTGTTCAGTCGTTTCTTTTGAAGGCAGTGGATTTTTCTCTTGCGTTTCTGTCTTCAATCTCGACTTACTACTGAATTTCTCAGTCTCAGCCATATCGGGTTTTTCAGACATGGTTGCAGAGGAAGCATTTTGGAGGTCAGAAGTCCCACACAGATCTCATGGGGCAAAAATCAAGGTACTGGAGGGCTGTGCCCCTTTCCAGAAGCTCTAGGGAAGGGACTGCTTTCTTGCCTTGTGCAGCTTCTGGAAGCTTCCAACATTCCTTGGCTTGTGACTCTATCTTTAAAGCCAGCAACACTGCATATCTTTGATTCTTCCCCTTAGATACATTTCCCCCTGGTTCTCCTTATGCCTTTTCTCTCTTACTTACCTTTTTAGGGAAAAGTCCTACTTACCTTTAAATTTGTATCCCACTCTCCTGACTTACCCAGACAGACATCAGTTTTCTTCTCCACCCCTTCCTTAGCACATCTTTCTGGTATGCCTGGTATCTGTACATACCGGTTTGCAGGGAACAGTTCAGCTTGACACCCTTTGTCCTGGTGTGGTTATTGATAGCATCCTCTTCTACTCTGGAATATACCAGTTTGAGTAATAATGGTGTGGTCTACCTGTACTGATCTACTCACCTCCAGAGTCTTGATTCAAGCATACTGCCTTTTAATTGCTACCACTTTATTTACTCTGATTCTCCTATTCCTGCTATCCTTTACTTCTATATAGACCTACAGTTTATGGGTACAGTTGCTTTATTTTTCTCCGTAACTCTCCCTCATGTCCTCATTTCCTTGATCCAGTGCCAAAACCACTCTAAAATTCCCTTGCCCCTTTCATTTCATCATGTGTCACTTTTCTGGCAAGGCCCCCCAACCATCTGCCTACTCACTGCTTA